TTCACAAGCATTGTGGATAAATCAATGGGAATAAGGGCTGCGCACACAAAATAACTTAGTGTGATTAGATTAACTGATGTTGAAATTGCGATATGATCCGTGATATAAGAGGAAAATACAATTTTTGTCCCATTATCATTAAAAGATACATTAAAAAATGATCATGGTGTGATGTTTTTTTTTACCTGAACCAATCAAGGATTTTTTTGCTTAGAATACTGATAATAAGTACTCTAAAGACTTAGCCGGGACCTCTTTGCAGCACTTGAAAAGTAATTAAATAATTCTGATTATTTTTGCCTTCACCCTTTGTGTATTTATCAAACAAGGTATCTACCAGGACTGTTTAAATGTGTAAACATGTTTCAGACTGCTAAGCCAGTGCTAACTGTGCTAACTAAGTTGATAGCGTTTCCATATCAACTCTAATATCAGCAGATGGCCTTACATACCAACACAGTCTCACGGCATTTCGTGTTATAGTCACGAAATTAATCTATTGATTCGTGTTCACCAACACGATTTCGCCATTTTTTTCGTGTCACACAGAACAATTTTAAAAGCAATGTAAATAATAACAAATTAGAAGGAAAAACAGATTAAAAAAAATACAGATTTCAATATTCTGACACAGAACAATTTTAGAGGCAATGTATTTCTATTGGTAGTATGTTTCGTGCCTGCACCAAATAATAACAAATTAGAAGGAAAAAAAGATGACAAAAAATACAGATTTCAGTATTCTGAGGCTCTTTGCCCCATTTCTTTTCCTCGTGGACGGCAAAAAAACTCCCACATTATACAATTTAAAATAAAAGGGATAGGGTTAGGCTTAGGGTAAGATATTGAGTAAGAACATGTTTTTATGAACCACACAGCTTCTGGTATTCCAAGACCCGACCGGACAAAAAGACGTGTTGCAGGCACGAAACATACTACCAATAGAAATACATTGCTTTTAAAATCGTTCTGTGTGACACGAAAAAAATGCGAAAATCGTGTTGGTGAACACGAATCAATAGATTAAATTAATTTCGTGACTATAACACGAAATGCCGTGAGACTGGGTTGTACATACATGTATCTCATAGCAGGAGAATGTCTGCATTCACACACGAAATACTCATAGACAGTATACTCCGGGTGATTTACCGTACGGTCAGTCGCGAAACGTAATTACATTATAGCTGGCGTTCCGAGCGTGTATACTACCGAGCTAAACAACAAGGCTACTAAGAGCTAGACATGAGTTTGCTCGGAAAAACATTGTTTTTATGCCAGCTACAATGAATGTAGCCGACTATCCATATAAGATTGCAATTGTAAACATGTGCTTGATAGCCTAATATGAACCACTATCTGTTGTTCATAGTATAGTATAGCATATTGAACAACTGAACAACTAGCAAACGTAGATTAGCATTGTAATCCAGCTGGCAAGCTGACGAACATCAAACAACTAAGTTTATTTCACACTTCCAGCAGAGACAATGGGGAAATCCCCTCTCTTTGCCCGCTCACAGACCCCCAAAGGACGGCCTAGAGACCTCCAAGAGGTGTCCCTGAAATGGGGACTCTGTTTATTTCACACTTTCAGCAGAGACAACGGGGAAATCCCCTCTCTTTGCCCGCTCACAGACCCCCAAAGGACGGTACATTACAGTTGGCTTTCCTCCGACGCTGATAGCATGTATAGCTAACGAGGCTAGCTATACATGCTAGCGGGAAACATTGTATTCATGCCAGTTACAATGAATGACCGAACGTAGCAGACTACCCGTATAAGATTGCAATTATAAACACGTTATTGCTAGCCTAATGTGAACCACTAGCTTTTGTTCATAGTAGTTTTATTACACTCCATTATAGTTGCCGTTCCTCCGAGCTAACGTTCATATCGTGTATGCTAAGGTAAACAAGAAAGCTAGGTTAGCATATTAGCTGGCAAGCTTACTGTGTTGATTAGATAGATGGATTAGATAGATCCACACTCCTACCACAACTACTACTAACGAATCTAAAACAACTAGGTTTCTCTAATATTTTGTGATTTGCATTTGATTTCGTCCAGCCAGATCCTGGCGGAAAATACATGACGGGGACGGGGCTACCACACTGAGGCCTCGTCCTAAAAAGCCCCGGCTGCGATAGGCAAGATGCCAACAACGGGGAGGAATGGATGATATACCGTGTATATATGTATATTTATGTTCATTTTGTACATTTCTAAAAATAAAGTTTGATGGAAATACTTAGTAGGCCTATCCTTTCTTCCCTGAATTATTTGCTCCTATAACATATCATTCATATATAGCAAACCATGATTTGATTTCTCATCAAACAGTAGTAGTTTATTACAGGTAAAAATAACTTACTCTTCTATAACAGTTGTAGGTACAGTTCGGTTAGTTAGCGTATAAAATATACGGCTGTACCGACGCCATTATAAGACTGATGTTCCGAGAGCGAGCCGAAAAAAGCACTGTTAGACATGGGCGGAGCCTCTCTGGTGGTTGACTAATCAGAACAGAGTGGCCGAGCTGACCAATCGGAGCACACTAGGCTCACAGGGAGGGGGGGCAAGAGCTCCAACGAGTCGTTTAGTGGAGAGAGTGAATACTGCTGAATACACATACTTTACAGAGATGCTGTATGCGAAACCAATGTGAGTTTGGAAAATTGCACAGTATAAATCTATTTTAGTATACCTCAACAATGTAATTATGATCAGTGGAAATGGCCATGACATGGGCCCTTTAAAGATTTTTTAAATAAAATGTCAAATAATTGTGCAGCCCTATTTAGATCCTTTACTGAAGTAAAAGTAATAAAACCACACTATCAAAATACTTGATTACAAGTGAAAGTACTGCTGTTAAAACCTTACTTCAGTAAGAGTCTGTAAGTTATTTTGGTTTAATATAGTCTTAGTGCAGTACAATGTTCCCTATCAATGTTTAACGATTATAAATGATGTTTCTGGGTTCATTTTAAGGCTGTGTCAATGTGCATGTTTAAGGTTTAGCTCATTTAAACTCCTTAATACAGTGCTGGTTATTTTAGGCAGCAGTTTATAACAGCAATGGATCATAAACTAATTGTAAGTATTGAGGCATTGCGTTTCTCTGAGAAATAGGTATACAGAAAAAGTCAGTTTCTTGAGAAAAAAAAGGCCCTGTTTTTCAGCATTTTGACAGTGCATTTCCCAGCTGATCAAACAGGCTTTTTAAAAGTGTATTTAGATTCAACTTAAGTAGGAAGATTAAAACATATAAAGGAACATATTATACTTCATGTTATTATACATTCCTGAAACCAACACATCTGGAGATACAGGGTCTTCAGGGGTGATTGAAATTGTATTTTAGAATATAACTAAATCTGTCATTAAATGTAGTTAGTAAGTGTAGTAAAACGTGTGTAGTGTAGAGATACTCCAGTAAAGAACAATATTTGAACTTGTACTTAAGTTCAGAACTCTGCTTAATGTACTTAGTTTTTTTCCACCTCTGTTTGGTTCTCACGCGGAATCTGTATCTCATTTATTTTGGTGGGAACCGCAGAAAGAGCAGAAGAACAGTGACAGGAAGTGAAAGGAATAACAGCTAAAAGCTTGCCTATGACAAACAAAATTGATCCTCTCTCGTCATCACTTCTCCTCTTAAAATGAAACAAAAATAACTTTATTGTGCAACCCCTGTGAAGTCATAGTGTGCATATCTGTAGAAATATACTAATAGATCAACTTGTTCACATGCACACACTCTGACACTGACAGGATGTGATCTGTCAGACGGGATGTAATAAGAGGAATTGTGTTTTTTGACTCACAAAGGGAATTTCCCCTACTCGTTGTGTCAGAATCAAACACACGCCGAGAGACAGACATAAAGACAGATAGAGATAGAGAAAGAATGTTATCACATGAAGTGACACACGCCTGTAATGTCAGTCACAAGCCACCTAGCTTTGGGCAATATATAAAACACACACATAGGGTCTCTCTTTCTCCCCCCCAAGGTATGGCAGCATGTGACAGACTGGGCCTCTTTAGCTACTGATGTGAGAACACTACATTTTAACCATTAGGTGTCTTCACATTATAACAGAAATACAATGTGGGATGATTTTTAAATGTCCTCCAACATGCAGAGACACGCAGAGGCATTTTCCCCACCAACTCTCAAATGTATTTAAGGTAGGCTTTAAGGGGAAATGTATAGCAATGGGAGATGTGGAGGTTGTGAGAGGGAGGAGGGGAGCAATCACTCATGATTTCATTTCTAGTCTTTTCAGTTTGTGGGTTTCAGGTATGGTAATTGATGATTATTTTAGGCTCACTCATTTATCACTTATTGAACATCCAAATGATCTTTTACACTGAGTTCTACATGTCTTCTTTTTACGACTTAAAGCTCATGACTACACTTTAGTTGGAAGAATGACTTCCCTACTTCTGAAATGGCACTATCTAAGAAGAATGTGAATGCACCATGGGCCTTGGAGAATGTCTGAGTGCTATTCTATGTATTATTACCTGGATCTGGGGCATAATTATGCTCTAAACCCAGCACATCATTGGGGGGCTTTTGGGGATGTAGACAGGAAGTGTAATGTTGCCATGGAGCAGGTCAGCTATGGGTTACATGAGCCATTTGTTTTTTTTTGCCTATATTTGTGAACATTTTTGGTAAATTGACATTATTAAAAGTATGCCGGATTACTTAAGCAGTTCATGTTTGGGAAGGGGTGTGTCACAGTTTAAAAAGACGTCATTATATTACATTAGATGTTATTAAGTTGACGATTTTTGTCCAAAGTGACCTTCAGTAAGAGCAATAAACCATAAAGATACAAAATCAGTGAGAAACTTGCAGGTATATTTGCTTTTTTGAAGTCCCTGTAGATAACAAATGTATTCTTGTATTCTTATGCCATATCTTTTGAAATTCTGTTTGTTAAAACCTAAAAGTAGGATGCTTTCGGAGAGCGGTACTTACGCAGACTTTGAACGCCTGGACGGTGTTGTCCAGCAGCAGTATGTTGCACACAACCTGTGTGTGCTGCCTGTCTCGCTCCAGCTCCGACGCCCGGACATTGTAGGATCTGCCAGCAGGCAAGTGGAAGCGCGCGCTCATCACGCTCCTACCAGGGTCTGCAAACAACCAAACACACAAGAGGACTGATGAGTGAGAGAAGCAAGAGGTCAAACAGGAAAAAAGACTACAAATAAAGCATCATTGTACCAGTCATTGTAATGTTTACATACAATAAGCCCACTTAGGTGAGCTAAAGCCGGAAAAATCTGTCTCCAAAGAACACAATAAGCCAATGTACAGAACGCCATGATGTATTTGTCTACCCACTGCCTTAGAGAAGGCAGCCACACAGCGAGGCAAGCCTGTACAAGCAGCAAAGAGCGACTGCTTCATGAGAAAAGAATGTCAATGAGTAGGCAAGCAGCAGATTCCCTACCAGGGGACGTGGAAACTGTATAGCAGAACAGCACTAAATCACTCAAAAGCTACTATAAAATGAAATGAGGAAAAAAATCTTTGGAAAAGAGCTAGAAATGTTTCAATCCTCCATGTGTCATTATGTCAACATGTGATTGTTTTAATAAAAAGGGAATTTTGCAAGTGATAAGTTAGTAAAAACAAAAGAAAAATTGATTTTGGGTCGTGTCAGTTGCATTGTTTGATACGATACTATTTTGATGATGTTACACAATGGCAGTGAAACAGTGGCTGATTCTGCTTTTCTGCTCATCAGTGGGAATAGATAACAATAACTGAAGCTGCTCCATTTACAACAAACCAAAGCCCCCTTTATTACAGAGACCACATCTGACTGCTTTCCTTGTCTGGCAGATTGTAACTGCTCGCATGTGGCTCAAATCCAAGTTTACACAGATAAATAAAAATGGCCTCTTATACTTGCAGTATATCTTCATTCTGCAACATAAGAATTAATAATAATAACGTCTTGTTTATCCAAAAGTCAATGGATGTGACATAAACTAAGATTTCCAGTGGGATTTGTAAAGTTGTATTCGTATTGGCATACAGTATGCTAGGTATTAGCATTTCATGTAATTTTTTGTAAACCAATTATTATTTATTCCTTTTTTTTGGTATGGGTTACAAGGTACAAACCATTTATAAGTGAGTTGTAAGGGTGCTGGTAGTAGGGCTGTGCAATTAATCGTATTTGAATCGCAATTAGGATTTTGGCCTGCCACAATTACGAAAACAACATAATCGAAAAAAACAATTATTTTGCTTTGCTACTGTAGGTTGAGACAGTGCACTGCAACATATTTGATCTAATTAATTTTGGTCTCATTTATTTGTATTCATCATATTTACATATGTTTAGTAGCTTGTGGAAGTGCGCTCCAAAATATTTGTTGATCTTGTTTATTGGTATTTATTATTTTGATATTATTTATTTAAATGTATCATTTATTTTTGTATTGGTTTTTCAGTTGAATTATACGTTCAGGGTAATCAACAGTTAAAAAGATACTGTTCAAATTATTATTTGTATTCGTTTTAAAGTTCAATAAATGGATTTTTTCAAAGTCAATGAATAATCTTATTTAATAATCGTGATATCAATTATTGACCCAAATAATCGTGATTATGATTTTTGCCATAATCGCACAGCCCTAGCTGGTAAGCACATTTTGTGACTGCTGGCCAGCTGTTTCCACCCTTTTCCAATATTTATGCTAAGCTAAGCTAAGAGGCTATTGGTGCTAGCTTCCAATTTAGCCTACAGACATGCGAGTGGTATCTATCTTCTCATAAAACTCTCAGCAAGTAAACCAATAAACATACTTCTGAAAATGTTCCTATTCCTTAAAAATAATTTATGTTCAGTTATTATTCATATTACATTTTGATTGTGTTATGATCAATACTGGTATGCTAAAGTCTAAACTAAGATCCAATTTATTTCATGAAACAAGCTGAGGAAACACATTGTGACAAAAAGCTCCATGATGTAAGACCCCCCCCATGCCAGCTCTTTTTGTTTTTCTGTACTTGCAGCAGTGTTTTCAGTATATTGTTGGGTAACATATGTCGCTGCAGTGGGATGTGTGCCCTTCCTGTCCGCCTCCTGCTTCTTCTTTTTTAATTCTTTGGTGATCTGTCTTGACAGGAGACATTATAACCCCACAAGGGTCACGGCCCCGTCATCAGGAGCTGCTGTATTTGTAACGATGGCTCTGTGTGAGCGTATTTGTGTGTGTGTATAGTATATATGGAGGGCCCACTGCGTGTCTGAGCGGCTTGTCACTACACATCAACACAAACCCCTAGGACCACTGGCAGATGGTGTGCACACTGTGGACGTACACACGCACATATGAATGAATGTATGGCTGAGGCCACTGACAGCAGCCTGCCCCGTCACCTACACACATTGACGCTCTACTTACACCAACAACAGGTGGATTTAATATGCCCTGTGTGACTGCATCTTATGTTGTTTCTCACTCAACAATTTAACAAGGGGCAATCTCAAGCACTGCTAAAGTAGGGTCATATGATGTGAGGGAAACGTGGGGCAACCATGATGGATATCTGTAAATGGAAAATAACTGTTTTATCATAATGCTTCCCTAGTTTATTGCCACCCCTCAAAGCAGTTATTGCGCAAGTCAGCGACAGTTGCCCACATTCATACAGAATTTAAATTATTTTAAAGTAAGTTCAGATTGAACATAGTAAAAAAATGTAAATTATAGTGTCCGTCCAAAAAAGAAATCATTACTTTCCCCCTCGGTCGATTTTGATGATTGACACCTCTTTTGAACCGTTAGAGCCAATAGAATCGAAGGGAAGTTCCTAAATCCATCTAAACATTTCCATTGAGGAGTGAGAGTGATGTGCACGCAGTTTGCCCAAAACCGGAAGCTGGGTTGTAGCTATCATAGCAGCTAATATGAAATCTTAGTTTTTGAGGGGTTTTGAGAAAAATGGAATGATGGATTATCAGTAATCATTTCAAAGTGACACAGACACATTGGATTAACCTTCAGCAGCGTTTTTATCGTTTTAATGCCATTGAACACAACTTTTGATCAGAAAACAGCAAAGGTAAGACATGTTTGCCGTTTTGGCTCAGTAAAGCTACGTTGTGTGTTGTCTGGGTTTGCCTGAGCTGCCGCGAGTTTTGGTCGCACAGTGATGATACTTATACCGCTAGAATCTGTGGAATCTCTTCTTTAATCTGATATCTTGTAGTCTTGTGCAGATCCGATAAGTAATAAAGTATTTATACCGTGAGTTCTGTGCTAAGTGCGTTACATGTTTTTCACTCAGGGCTAATTCAGAGGCTCTGCGTTAGACTTTTCTTTTGTTTCGGTAAAAATGGTTCATATCGTCAGGTAGCTGAGTTTCTTCCCGTTAAGTGGGTATGACACATTCATAGTTTGTTAAATGTTAAGAAGCCCTCAGACGCTGTTTCTTGCAAGATGTTGCGGGAGCCCCCCGCCCCCGGGCTTAACAGGTTAAAGGTCCCATGACATGCTTTTCCGGTTATTACCCGTCCCCTTGTGTGTTATGTAGCTTTTTATGCATGTAAACGGTCTGCAAAGTCACAAACCCTCAAAGTACACCCTGTAGCGAGTAAAACTCTAACACAGAAAAAACCTGTCTATGCTGCCCCAGAACGCCTCGTTGGAGATTTTTCTGTTTCAATTTTTTTCTTCCCGAGTATAGTGACGTAACGGTCATAGTGACGTACACACACACACACTCACCCTTATCTTTTTTCAGCCGCGGCTCCGCGGATCTCCGCACACACACACACTCACATTGTGCTCAGGCTGAGTTCCGCGGTGTCTCGCTGTCTCGCAGACCCCACGCAGCAACCAGGAAACGATACCAGTAATCCAGCTCACACTGTCCGCTCCTCGAGCCTCAAAGGGCGGAGCAGCGAGCCTCGCAACGTCCCGCCAACACGTCACCCAGACCCCACGCAGCATTCTCATATGTTTGTCATTACTGGTGTCATTTTCTGGTTGCTAACAAACGCCATTGTAACACATAATCACTGATGTTCCGCTGTAACGGTGGTGGCCTCATCAGAACAGAGTGGGCGAGCTGACCCAATCATAGCACAGTGGGCTCATAGGGAGGGGGGGGCAGGAGCTCCAACAAGCCGTTTAGGACAGAGAGTGAATACACATACTATACAGAGATGCTGTATGAGACACCAATGTGATTTTGGAACATTGAACAATGTAAATCTATTCTAGTAGACCTCAACAATGGAATTATGATCAGTAGAAATGGCCATGTCATGGGACCTTTAAGGTTCATGTTCAGGTTGACGACAAGCACGGCCTGCTTTGGTTTCCTGATAAATTGATCAAAGATAATTGTGATTGGTGGGTCACTGTGCAAACAGATCCTGCATGACACTTACTGGCAACAAATTGTGTATCCAACAAGTCTTAAAGGAGAGGTGTCATGCTTTTCCGGTTATTACCCGTCCCCTTGTGTGTTATGAAGGTTTTTATGCATGTAAACGGTCTGCAGAGTCAAAAACCCTCAAAGTACACCCTGTAGGGAGTAAAACTCTAACACAGAAAAGACCTCCCCAAAACGCCTCGTTGGAACTTTCTCATGTTCTTCCTGGGCATTGTGACGTGTGGATACCCAGTAGCCACGCCCAGAGCTATGACGCGATACGGTCATGCGGTACCCGGAACCAAATGGACCAATCCGTGGAGCCGTTACGTTACGTCCGTGGAGCCGTTACGTTAAGCCCCCGCTGATTGACGGACTTCCTCACACACACACACACACACACACACACACACTCAGTGAAGGCAGCTCTGCAGATTTCTCCTCCCTGGCTGCAGGCTGATAACAGACAGTTGGGATTGCGGCGAAATTCTCTCTGCAGACCCATTCTCACAGCGTATATCAACCTTTTTCTTACTCAATATCAAGCCACACTTATTGTTTTTACTTCGGTTGTGAGTTTGTGTGTGCTCAGGATGAGTTTGGCTGTGTTTCGCTATGTATCCTAAACAAGGAAACCACACCTCCACGGAGCTCAGCGCGATTCACAACGTCCCGACCAATCAGAACACACTGGGCTCACAGGGAGGGTGGGGGCTGGAGCTATTGGAGC